AAGTTAAGAAGTGAAAGTTTTTGGCTGACCAGGACAAAAAGTAACAACCAAGGTACCCTGGAATTTAAATTTTGCAAAAGACACATCGCTCCCAAAGAAGAGTCGGAAACAGCGAACGAAAGTGAAAAGGGAAAGTTTTTTTTCTTCACTCTCCTTCCTCATGCTGATAACGAGAAGATCTGAATAAAGAAATTGGAAAAATCCGCTTTGGCACCAACAGGTAATTAAACTGGAAATATAATTAAATGCCAAAGGGACAATAAAGATTTCCGAACACTAAAAAATCCTTTTTTTGCTATAAGTGGGAAGGGAGAGGAAAAGAATAAGGGCAGGACTTAGAAGGAGGAGACTGCTTGGAATTCAAAAGAATTTAAAGTTAAATCTTAACAAGACTTCTAAAGAATACATTTTAACTGGAACTTTGCAACTAAATAGTAACCCCAAGAAGAGAAAATGAAAAAGAAGAAAGTGTTAAAAGAAATAGCTTGTGCGTATTTGGATTGGTTGGTGATTTTGGGACTTTTGGAAATCATATTTAAATGACTAAAAGCAATTGGGTGGTTGTTTTTTTAAAAAAACAAACAAACTCTACAATGGCATCACCTCTGGATGAACTGAATGAACTGGATGAATTGAAAATTGAATATAAAAAATATAAAGAAGAGGAACAAGAAGGGAAGGGCTCCTTTGGCTCCATTTTTCAATTCTTAGAAATGGTGATTGGTGTCTACAAGAAACAAGAAAAGACTGCTCAACAAGAAGATTGGGACAAAGAAGAAGCCATTTTTAATGAACAAGTAATTCTATCTGGGGAAGAAAAGGAAAAGGGGGGAAAGAGAATGGATAATTTAAGACCTAAAAAAACAGCCAAAAAAGGGAAAAATAATGTGAAAAGGGGATATAATGTTGGAAAGCAGCAGAAAAGGGGAATACAGAAGAGGGAAATGGAGGTGGAGAGACAGGGGGGTAAAAAGGGAAGAGAGAAGAAAGGGAAAAAGGAAGGGAAGAGAAGTTACAAAGGTTTGGAGCAAGATGTAAAGAAACAGGATTTATTCAGAGATAATGGTGAAAATTTAACTGAAAAAGGGATTCTGTAAAGATACATAAGATTGTATTGTTATATTAGTAATAGAAATAATGTTAGAAAATTTGAAACAACATATGATTAACAAGTGGATTAAAATAGTTAGTGTAATTTAGTGAAACTTTCGTGAACAAAATAAACGAAATGAAATAAATGAGAGATTTGAACTAGGAAGGAATGGGAACATTTTAACTACTCAACGTTTTATAAAATATAAGTGAAGTGAGAGGGAAGTAATTATGGAAAGTTTATAAATGTTTCCATAGAAATATGATACTTATTTGAAAAGTAATGTGTAAAATGTTCAAGATTTAAATGAATATTAATATTAATGATAGAATTGAATTGGTATGGATTGTTGTTTTAATTATTTTATATATTTATATTTTTTTCTTTTTAAAGTACATTGTGTAGTTTAGAATATACCAAGCAGAATCCAAATGGAAGTTATGTATTATAGTAAGTGTTATAATTTTAGGGGAAAGATATAAAGGCATCATACTCCAATCAGTGATCACAGGAGAAATTTTGCTTAATGAGAAAAGATGAAACAGGACAGACAAAGAATATAAGTATGATGATTTGAATTGAGATGAAATAAATAAAATAAAATTAAGAAAGTTGAAAGAGGGGAGAAGTTATATAGACAATGTAGAATGGTAATAATATATGGAATGGAATATAAAAATGAGCATGAATTTGAATTTGTGTCTGCACGAAGAGATGTAACCTGGGATCAGGCTGCTTTCAAAAAAGATGTTTTATGTTTTTATGTTCTATGTTTTGTTTGTTTATGTATTGTTTTTAAAAATCAATAAAATTTTCAAAAAAAAAAAAGAGCAAATATTTTTCCATCCTGATGTCACCGGCCACATTGTCCAATGAAAGTAGCTGGCAGTCTACTTGGTCACTCCCCTCCTCGTTCAACTGCTATTCTGTTTGGATGACCTTGGTTTCCACAAGAAAACTTTTTGTTTTGACTGTTAGCTAGTCTATCTACCTTCTGCCCCTCCTCCCCTTCTCAGGATTTGTGGCAACTATGAGGCAGCAAAAGATGGCTTCAGCCAGGTTCACTTCAGAGTTGACATATACATGTGATGGTATGCTACCAGTTTGGATTGGTTTGACCAAACCGGTAGTAAAAAAAGCTGAGAATCAGCTGAGAGGAGGAAAAAAAATCTCCAATCAGCTGAGAGGAAAAAGAAGAGAAAAGCGCAGGATTGCGCTTTTCTCTTCTTTATCCTCTCAGCTGATTGTAGGTCTCAGCTGGTATGAGTGACATTAGGCAAAGCTGCATGCTGACATGAGGCAAAGCTGCATGCTGATATTAGGCACAGCATGCCCACCAACCCACACCCACCGAGCTATGCCCACCGAACCAGTGAAAAAACAATTTTAATCCCACCATTACATACAACATGTAACTAAGTTATCTAAGTTGGAGGCAGAAAAGATCTGACATTTCCACAAGAAAACAGTTTAAGAGTACCCAATAGATTTCTTACACTCTGCAATACCAACTATGCAAATCCTTCCTTGCCTTCTTCATTAACCCCCAGGGGTAGGAAACTTACTGTTTGCATGTAAAATTGCACCAAAATTCTCATTTTGGTGGCCTCTTGATTTAAAATTTAAAAATGAGCCTCTTAACATCATGTTGTCCAAATTATATTCGGTAGGGTGGTTTTCATTGTCTTCAAAAAATAAAGACAAATCGCCCATAAAATTAATTCACCTAGTCTTCCTCCAAGTCCTTTATATCCCGACAAAGTTTATATTATCTGTCCTGACATAAAACTAACAATAGTTAATTTTAATGAGTGTCAATTCTAAAATGTCCCCCAATGAAAAGGTATATAATTATGACCTAATCAAAATTATCATTCTTAACCTTACTGCAGACATAATATGGGGACATATTTAATGCTAAAAATCGACAGATGTATGAATCAAAGAAGGCCCACAATGAATGACAGGATGTTGCTATCTAGAATGGTTTCTTCATTATATTTCATTTGAGTTAAAAAGTTAGGAAACCTCTATGGCTAAAGTCAATACATTATTACTAAACAATTTTTAATTACATAGATTTTTAAACAATCATAAATTGTGGATTATAGACCAAAATAATTAAGTCTATGTGTGCACTGCATGAAGCTCAAACAACCCTATCTTATCTCACCTTCATTGTGACTTAGCTATAAATTATAAATTGATCCAGTAGGTTACTATAGAACTAGAACCAGAGGTTGCCTAATGAAATTGAATTCTGGAAGAATCAAGAACCGACAAGAGGGTGGGTTTTTTTTACACAGCATATAATTACATTTTGGAATTTGCTATCATGAGATACAGTACTGGTTACTAGTTTGGCATCAAAAAAGGACCAAATCATTGTATCCTGGAGATCAATGGCTATTAATCTAGATAGCAGTATAACTGCCTCTGAATACAGTGGTACACTACAGTGCTTCCCTTTGTAGGTGGTTTGTCATTGTGAGAAAAGACTACAGGACTGTTACGCTCCAAGTCAGCATATATTCTTATGTTCTCAATAAGCAAGATATCACAGACATGCAAATAAAGGGAAGAAAAAAATCATAATTGCAATCAAGGATTAACCAGCCTGACCTATATATGAAACTTACCTTCAGAAGAGCAAAATAAATGCACTTAAAATTTATTATTTTTTTTCATGAGGACCATGGTTAAGGATTCTGTGAACCCTTAAAAGCTTTATTACAACTTATTAAGCTAAAATAATTGAAATAAATAAACAATTCAAATCTAAATACCCGTGTTTCTCACAAAATAAGGCCGGGCCTTATTTTAAAAAAAGCAAAAAACAGCTAGGACGTCTCTTCAGAGGTGAATTAATTTCTCTCCCCCCCGCCTCCTCGTAATAATAGGGAAAAAAAGATTTTGAGGTACCTGGGAGCGCTGCGTGCTGCGTTTTGGTTTAATCCTGAGTGGCTGGGTGGGCATGAGGAGAGCCAAGCAAGCGTCTCTGCTGCTGCTACCCTTGGTGCTCCAGCCTCAGGCTCTGCAAGTTTACAAAAGTCCCGGTGCGCAGCCCATTCCTGCATTCCTAGCACCCAGGCCGAGCTGCAGCTGTCTCTCTCTTGCCAGCACCATTTCCAATAACAGCGGCAACCATGGAGGCGGTTCCCCCATCCAAGAAGCGGCTGAAACGCTTCCATGGTTCCTGCCGCTGCTGCCGCTGTTATTGGAGATGGCTCGCTCGGCTCTTCTCATACCCACCCAGCCACTTGAGATTAAACTAAAACACAGCATGCGGTGCTCCCAGGTAGCTCAAAATGTTTCTTTTTCCTGTTGTTTTGGGGACGGGGGAAAAGCGGGAGCGACTCAGATGCTGTTGTTGGAGACGGCACTGGCGAGAGAGGCGCCAGCACTGGTGGGAACCATGGAAGCTACGAAGGCCTGAGAAGTGGCTGAAATGCTGCGGGACATCCGTGCCAACACTGCCCACCTGCTGACCTGGGTAAGGTCGTGCTCCCCCAGGAGTGGCTGATGGTGAGGCGTAGCTGCCCATAGGGCACTCCTAATGGCAAGTTTCCCCCACCTTCCCCCTCCAATTTTCCCATGTTTTAAACTAGGCCTAAATTTGGGGGGGAGGGGCTTAATTTCATTTTATGCCAAGAAAACATGCTGGGTCTTCCTACTGGGACGGGGGTGCGTATTGTTGGAGAAACATGGTAGAAATTTATTGAAGGTCAACTAGATTAAGATGCCTAATTTGGCTATACTTGAAAAACCACTCAGATAATTTGGTATCTTTAGGGGAGGGGAGAAGATGGAACTAGAAAAATGTGTATATTAAATTCCAACTGTCCTCTACCTAAAGTTGATATTTGTATAGATACAACAGTACAGCTTCAATTAATTAATTACATACCAGATGTCCAGGGTAACCCCATGTTCCTAGTTCACCATCATCACCAACTAATCCTGGAGTACCCTGAGAAACAAAAGCTGATTTGTTTCAGGAGCAATATAAAAGACTGCACATTTATATATTCCCAACCAGATTTTGAGGCAGCTATCTTTCGGTAGCAAATGTGGGAAAGAATAGTGAAAAAATATTAATAATGAAATGTTTTACAAGAGTTGCACAGTATGTATTATTATCTGGAAAAAACAATTTATCCATTGTCTACTTCTCTTGGACACCAGTACCATAACGCTAGGATTTCCTTAGCCATAGCTAGTTTTTGCTGGTAAAGACTAATGATGAAAGTTGTCTGCTTATACAAATAGAGGCTACAGCCCAAGGTAAGGTAACCCTGACAGAGCCTGAATGTGATAAGTATTGCAAGGTTTCAATAAAGTACATTTTTGTTCATTTATCAGTGCTATTTTCAATGCCAAAGATATCAGCAATTGCTTGAGAAGTTACAATCTAAATGGACAAACTAATTTCACAAAGTTTGGAAATCTAGTAAGATTTCAACTATATAATTTTAGGACTCAGAAGAGCCATCTGAAGAAGTGACAGGTGTCAGAATATTCATGAACTGACAGAGTAACAAGGTAACAAGGTCAGCCAATGAATAGGCAAAGCAACTAAGTCAGCCAATGAGGACTGTTTGGAAACTGAAACTGGAAGGAGCTTGGGTGTGGCTCTTCAGAGTTCTGAATCTGCAAACTAGTGAAGGATCAGATGATGGAATGTATGTGTGGAGGCCCTGGGGATCAGAGGAAGGGTCATATGTAGAGATAGGACCCAGGTATGAATGGAATGGACATGAGAGCGAGGAATATGAATTCTGATAAAACATTTTCTCTTGTCTTCATTTCTGTGCCTTAAGCAGCCTTGCTCCTTCCTGTCTCTCTCTATAGAAGGAGAGGGGTCACGGGGGGGTGGTGGGTGTTGCTGCCTCAGACAAAGATTTAAAACTGCTTTTACTTTTCTTCGCAGAAAGGGGAAGCTACCTTGAGCTGCTCTACAATAGGAAAGGGGTTGAAACCATATATTCTTAACAAGGCAGTAGTTAACACCTTAAACCACTAGTCAGAATATTAGGGACAAGAATAGCTTGCTTATATGAAAATCCCCCAAAACCACTTAGCTGGCACATGAAACTAGGACACTTTGCAAGATACCCATGACCTGGGGTAAAACACAGGTGATGCAACATTTAGCTATTTAGGGGGCTGAGATCCAAATAACCAATCAATATTATCTGTTATGCATGCATTATTAGGGGAAGGGCAAAGGGCTGAATGAGACCATCCCTTGACTATAAAAATTGCTCTAAGATTGTAATCAGGGCCCTTGGTTAGCTTCTGAGCCAGGATCCTTATATCTTGGTACCAAAATAAAAGTATAATTTTGTATCACACCTTGTTGTCCGGTGACTTATCAGCTTCAACACCAAGCAAGAGCCCAGTTTTGGGAACAACACTAGTCTGCAACTCTGAATCAAAACTGAAACTGTTCTCTGATGTTCTCTTCTCTCCTTGTGTTTTGTCTGTAACTGTTACCATGTTGGAAGAATCTGCTGTTGATATTGTAAATTTACTTCATGTGTTATTATGTATATAAAGAAGTTAATGAATCCTGCTGAATCAGTTATCTGTATGTGCTTTCTGGATTTGATTTCTGCAACACACTCTGATAACAGGTGACTCTGAATACCACCTTCCATATCCATTTGCATTATATTAAGAGATCCTGCTGAAAGATCTCCGTTTTATTATGAGACAAAACCCAAGCTGTACTGTCATTACAGATTCCAAAGCACAATAAAGCAATGCATGATTCTCCATGAGGATACCTGTGGAATTTTTATAACTGGATGTTGTGACTCCGGAGTTGGAATCTGTTCCGTTGGCAGATGTGAGCTCAAGCGAAGAGGACATGGCAGTGATTTTGGGGAGTGAACACTCGAAGAGAACTCTTTGAGGCTTTGGGATTTATAGCCACGTCAGGTTTGCCGGACAGAGTTTGGATTTATTGGCTGAGGACTGAAGATACTTCATCGGTCCTCTTGTGAGAGTTTGCTTTTTGGTTTGTGATATTTTGGAACTGCTTGTTTCGTTTTGCCCTCCTGCATTTAAAGGGGAGACATAACATTTTTGCTTCTGGCCCAAAAGAAACCATCTTTCAACCAAGATAGATCAACTCAACTGCAGCATTTGGTGGAGCAGCAACAGCAACAAATAAACCAACTGCTACAAAGTAACCAGACCCTCCAAAACCAGGTAACTCAGTTGGTGAATCATATTTCAAGTTTGCAAATTCCTGCTGCTCCTTCAGCCCCTCCCTTGAGGAAAAGCCTGGTATCCATGCCGGAGAAATTTTCAGGACAAATGGACATGTTTCCGGCATTTTGGGGGCAGTGTCAGTTATTTATGTCCTTGAGGCCTGAAGACTTTCCAAATGACCGGGCTAAGGTAGGATTTATTATTAGCCTTTTGCTGGGCAGGCTGCCAAATGGGCTACTCCCTTGTTAACTCAAGATAGTCCTTTATTAGATAATTTTCAGGGTTTTCAGCAACAAATGAGGGTTATGTTTGAAAACCCAATTAAAACTCAAACTGTGGCAAGACGGCTACGGGACATTTATCAGGGGAAACGTCCCCTGCAGGAATATATTGCAGAATTTCATTTACTTTGGATTCCACCTGGAATGAATCGGCCCACATGGATGCGTTTCAGGAGGGCTTGGCAGATAACATCAAAGATGAGTTAGTGCATGCGGAGCGGGCTGCAACTTTGGATGCACTAGTAACACAGTGTTTGTGGATTGAAGCCCGCTTACAACAGTGCGGAAGCAAACGGCCCGTTGTGGAACCATCTTCTTTTCCTCGTTTACAAACCACGCCACTGAAAGTTTCTCAAACTACGGTTAAGACCGAGGAGCTGATGGAGTTGGGTGCATTCCGCCCTCGCTTAACGGTGCGAGAACGTTCTAGAAGGTTTCAGGAAGGCTTGTGCCTTTATTGCGGGGGTTTGGGACATTTTGCTAATTCCTGCAAATGGAGAGGGTCCCGCAAACCTGTGCCTGAATCCATTCCTGACCCGTCGGGAAACGGGGTAGGCCCGACCTCGGGGAAACCCTAGGTCGGGCACGTTCCACACCCCCACCCCAAATTGCTGAAGTGAATCCAGGGCCTCCTCGGCATTTACTTTTGGACACTAAAATCTTTTCACAGTCTCAGAAGGAGGGAATCCCTGCGGTTGCATTGGTGGACTCAGGGGCTACAGCCAGTTTTATGGACTGGGCTTTTGCTACGCACTATGAGATCCCATTGATTGCTGTGGGCTGGTTACCCATTAACGTGGAAACCATGGATGGGCATGAGCTCAAGTCTGGGCCCATTCGTTTTGCCACCCAGCCAGTGCGTATGGTCACTGGAGATCACGAGGAGGCGATAAGTTTTTATATCACCTCGAACCTTCATCTCCCCTTGGTACTCGGCGTGTCCTGGCTGCGTTTGCATGATCCGTTGGGGGCCTGGGTGCAGAATGGCATTTCCTTTCCAAGTCTCCAATGTGTGGATCATCTGAGACATATCTGCGCTGGCCAGGATATCACCGCCACTCCTGCTGTTTCCATACCTCCAGAGCTATCGGACTTCTCTGACGTTTTCAGGGAGAAGGAGGCGGATCAGTTACCACTGCATCGTGCTTATGATTGTCCTGTAGACCTGATACCAGATGCTCCACTGCCCAAGGGTCGGTTATACTCCATGTCGGAGCCTGAGTTGGCTGCGCTTTGAGAGTTTCTAGATAAAAACTTGGCTTGGGGGTTTATTCGACCATCGTCGTCTCCTCTTTCGGCTCCCGTTCTTTTTGTTAAAAAGAAGTCAGGAGAACTTGGCTTATGCTGTGATTATTGCCGGTTAAACTCCATCACAGTGAGGAATAGTTATCCTTTGCTGCTCATTCCGGAATTAATGGAGCGGTTGCGGGAGGCTACTATCTTCACTAAACTCGATCTGCGTGAGGCCTACAACCTGGTTCGGATGCGCAAGGGGGACGAGTGGAAGATGGTGTTTGGCACTCGTTATGGTCATTTAGAGTACACCATCATGCCATTTGGTCTGACCAACGCTCCCGCGGTATTCCAGCATTTGATGAATGACATTTTTTGCGATATGCTGGATAGGTTTGTTGTGGTGTATCTGGATGATATTTTGATCTACTCCCAGTCCAGGGATCACCACCTTCATCAGGTCCGTCAAGTGCTGCAGCGTCTTCAGGAGCATAAGCTCTATGCGAAACTGGAGAAGTGTTTCTTTTTTCAGTCTTCAATAGAGTTTTTAGGGCATATCATCTCTCCCGAGGGCATTGCTATGGACCCTAAAAATGTTGAGGCCTTGTGTAGTTGGGAAGCCCCTCATCGAGTAAAGGACATGCAACGTCTTCTGGGGTTCGCCAATTACTATAGGACCTTCATTCCAGGTTTTGCTAAGTTAATGGATCCTATTACTCAGCTCCTTCATAAGAAGGTCCTGTTCCGGTGGGGGCCTCCACAACAACAGGCTTTTGAAACTTTAAAGAAAGAGTTTGTGGCCGAGCCGATATTGAGGCATCCTAATCCGAATCGTCCATTTGTGGTCGAGACAGATGCCTCTAATGTGGCTATCGGGGCAGTATTGTTGCAAGCTCCAAAGGATGGCATACCTCTTTTCCCCTGCGCATACTATTCTCGGAAGCTCACAGCTTCTGAGCATAATTATACTATTTGGGAAAAGGAGTTGTTGGCTATTAAGGCTGCATTTGAGACCTGGCGACATCATCTAGAGGGGGCTCGGCATAAGGTGGAGGTTTGGACAGATCACCGAAACTTGGAACATTTGTCTACCGCCAGGAAGTTGAACCAATGCCAGATCCGGTGGTTGTTTTTTTTGCAAGATTCAATTTTTTCGTCACTTATGTTCCAAGCGGACAGAATCGGAGAGCAGACGCGTTGTCTAGGAAACCTGAATATCTCGGTCCTGAGGATCCTCTTCCTCCACGAACGGTGTTGCCACTGGAATCCTTGGCTGTGCTTCAAGATCCAGTAGACTTATGGGCTCGAATATGGGAGGCGCAGCGATTAGACGCATGGACACAGCAGAGAAGGGGGGAAGTTGGACCTGATTCCCCATGGTCTTTTGAAGAGGGCTTGCTACGACATCGGGGTTTATTGTATGTACCCATCAGGTCGCTTAGAGCTCTCATCATGACGCAATGTCATGACAACCCTGCTGCTGGTCATTTTGGTTTCTACAAAACCCTGCACTTAGTCACCCGGACTTTTTGGTGGCCTCGGGTTTGTCATGATGTGTTTTCTTACATCACTTCTTGCGTACAATGTCGGCAAGCGAAAGCAGCATCGGTTGCGCCTCCAGGACTCCTGCAACCATTGCCGACTCTGGACAGACCATGGGGAGCGATCTCCATCTTTCTCACGCATTTGCCATCCTCGTCGGGTTTCATGACGGTGCTCGTGGTGGTCAATATGCTGACTAAAATGGCTCATTTCATTCCCTGTCGGAAACTACCATCAGCTCGCACTACGGCTCAGTTATTCTTACAGCATGTCTTTCGTTTACATGGTTTGCCGGATAGGGTGGTTTCGGATGGTGGGGTCCAGTTCACTGCGCAGTTCTGGAAACGGTTAATGTCGGCGTTACAAGTTCAGGTGTGTCTGGTGTCAGCGCACCATCCAGAAACTGATGGCGGGACTGAGAAGGTTATTGGCATTCTCACTCAGTATTTGAGATGTTTTGTCAATCATCGGCAAAATGATTGGGCGAAATACCTCCCTTTGGCAGAATTCTCCTTTAATAACTCTCAACATACCTCCACTCATGTAACGCCATTTTATGCGAATGTGGGCTATCATCCCCGATTCTTTCCGTTAAGCATGATGGACTCCCCGGTTCCCGAGACACAAGACTTTCTTGAGGAATTACAAGCGGTTCACCATTTAGTGGTGCAACAACTGGAATGGGCGAAGGAAGATTACAAATGGTTTGCGGACCGTTCTCGTAGAGCAACGCCTCCATTAGCTGTGGGAGACAAGGTGTGGTTATCCACAAGGCACCTTCAGGTTGATCGCCCAATTAGGAAGCTGGACCATCGTTTCATCGGTCCATTCCCGATTGAGGCGGTCATCAACCCTGTGGTGTATCGACTCACCTTACCGCGCTCCATGCGCATTCATCCTGTATTCCATCGTTCCCTCCTGGTTCCTGACTTTCCGGAATGCCCTCTTCGTGCTCCCGCTGGTGCGATTTCTCCATCACCACCCAGTGCAGAGGCTGATATTGACGACTCGGTAGTCAGCGTTACTGATTCTCGTTGGCTAAAGGATCGCTTCCAGTATTTAGTGGGAAGGAGAGTGAATGGTTCGGAAGTTTTTTCATGGACGGATGCTTCACGGTTCATGCCCCAGACTTTATTCAGAGGTTCCATGAACGTTTCCCTTCGAAACCGCATCCGGATCGTCAGATTCGGGGGAAGGGCCCTGCGGTGAGGGATAGTGTTGTGACTCCGGAGTTGGAATCTGTTCCGTTGGCAGATGTGAGCTCAAGCGAAGAGGACATGGCACTGATTTTTGGGAGTGAACACTCGAAGAGAACTCTTTGAGGCTTTGGGATTTATAGGCTCGTCAGGTTTGCTGGACGGGTTTGGATTTATTGCTGAGGTCCTCTTGTGAGAGTTTGCTTTTTGGTTTGTGATATTTTGGAACTGCTTGTTTTGTTTTGCCCTCCTGCATTTAAAGGGGAGACATAACAACTGGATATATCACACAAAAGTCACACATTTTGAGCCCAACTCTTGTGTATTTGAAATTTGATTATTTTATATTGAAATGAATGAGTTACTTCAAGCCACCAAATGAATCATAATCATAAGCACGTTGTTGGTTTTAGAAATTTGATGGTCAAGGAAATTTGATGGCTCCGAGGAAATTTTGAGAACTCAGTGAAAAGGGACTGCATAACTCCCAAAAATACATTTTGCATTATTCGGAGGAGAAAAAAAAGCAATATATTAAAAATACAGCATGTAATAATCAAACAAAACCATGGACACTAAAATAGCTTTTGTACAGTTTGTTTCACAATACCATTCTTCCTCTTTTTCCTTTTAGTCCAGGTTTTCCAGGATTGCCCATATCTCCAGGTTTTTCCTGCCAAATATAGCACAAAGTTAATAAAATGTATATAAATAATATATAACACTGCAAAAACACAGTATACTGCTTATTCTGATAGGTAGAATTATCTATTTTAATTAATGTTACAAAGAATTCAATGAAATAATTGGAATTAGATATTTGAAGAGATGATAAGCATCTTATAGAAAATGCAAAAAGAAATTTGTGACATAGAAACATAGAATCATATAATTGGAAGGAACCTTGGAGGTATTTTAGTACCATTTCCCTACTCAAGGCATGAGTCATACACCATCCTGGTCAAATGGTCATCCAGTCTGCTTTTGAAAACCTCCAATGATGAAGCACTCACAACCCCATGAGATTAGCTATTCCATTAATTATTTGTTCTCACTGTCAGAAAATTTCTCCTTTACTTCTAGACTGGATTTCTCTTTCACAAACTTCCACTTATTACTTATTGTCCTAGCCTCTGGTGCCCTAGAGGAGAAAAAAAAATCAAACCCTCTTATTTGTGACTACTCCACAAGTACTGGAAGATAGTTATCATCTCATCTCTAATCCTTCTCTTTTATAGGCTAGACATACCTAGCTGCCTCAACCATTTGTCATATGATTTAGCATCCAGACCCTTTATCATCTTTGTTGCCTTTCTTTGCACATTTTTCTGGGTTTCAACATATTTTTGTATCACTGCATGCTTCCCTTCAGGTAGATATAGTTCGATTCAAGACTATACTCTGAATGTGGTTGATCAACCAATTGCACATCCTTATGGTGATGGTCTATCCCACATTTTTTCTATCTTGCCAAGAAATAGGTTATGGTCTACCTAGTCAAACACTTTGCTGAAGTCCAAGTATCCCATGTCCTATCATTTTACTGATCCTTACTTACTTTATAAAAAAAAATGGAAAAAGTCCTGTCTGGCATGTTCTGATTTTAACAAATCCATGCTGGCTTTTAGTAATCATCTTGTTTGTTTGTAGGTGCTCACAAATCCTCCACTTACTTTTTCTGGGATTTTCCATATATTGATGTCAAACTGATTAGCCTATAATTTTCTGGATTCATTTCCCCTCTCTTTTTCTAGATTGGAACTATATTAGCTCTTTTCCAGTCCTCTGGGATTTTCACTGTGCTATATGAGCTTTGAAAAAATATATTCAGTGGCTCTGAAATTATACCTGCCAGCTCCTTCAAAACCGTTGGATATAAACCATTTGGCCAGGTGATTTGTACTTATCTAGGGTGGATAGGGATTCTCTTACTAATTCCTTGCTTGTTTTGATTTGTATATCTGTTCTATCTTTCTCAGTGCTGATTTTGATAGGTTTGGCTTGGCTTTTGTTAAAAATTGAAGTATGTAAATCATGCAGTTTGCAAAGTAATATGATGAACTAGTGTCAGAGTATATTCATGAACTGGAATAGAGCTTGGTAACAAGATCAGCCAATGAATAGGCATAGCAACTAAATCAGCCAATGAGGACAAACCGAAACTAGAAGTAGTCTAGGCTGGAAACTGAAACTAGAAGTAGCTTAGGCATGGCTCTATATTAAGCTCTGCAGCTCTGAAGCTGTTGAGCTCTGAGTCTGTCTATTGAAAATGATACTGCTTCTCTCCTTTGCTGTGTATAATGCTTGCCTGCTGAACTAAAGTGAAACTGATGTCTGTTTCTGAGCTGCTGAGTTGCTGCTGAAGCTCTGAACATGTCTTCTTCTGTCTGAGTTTCCTCCAACTGGTTTCAAAAATCTACTTATTATGTTTAGAAAGATGTTAAATGAAGCATCAGTCATCTGTGTTTATTTTTTTGGTGCTGAATTAACACTGCAAAAACTCTGAATAGGTTATGAGCCCAGAAGGCCAGAAAAAGGCTTGAGGAGGAAAAATCCCTTAGGAGGGGGCCCAAGAGGAGCAATGGAAATTTCCACAGCCAGGCTATCTGCAGAGGGCAGCACAGAGATAAGAGCCTTGGAGTTTCCAGAGACCAGCAGTACAGCAGGAGAAGATATCAGATTACAACCCAGCAACAGAAGAGGTGCTTCTTTTCTATTCATTTGAAGAAGGACTGCTTGCAAGACAGAAGTTTGCAAGGACAGGTTGATGGACAGATTGCTGTTGCAAAAGCCTGCAATAGTAATGGAAGAAATCAATGGCTGATAGACAGTGGGTCTAGCCAAATGATTATTAATAATGCTAAATTGTTTTACAGGATGGATGCAGCTGCAGGAGAAACAGTAGCCTTGGCAAATGGCAAGAAGGCTAAAGTCATTGCAAGTGGCAGTATGCAAATTCCATATTTGGAAACAAGGTTTAATAATATTTTATGTGTACCAGAAATGGAACATAATTTGCTGAGTGTCTCTAGGTTAGACAAGCAAGGATTTGACACCACATTTGTAAATGGGCAGAGTCTTATAAAGAAAAAATGGGACTGTCTGTGCAAAGGGCATAAAGCATGATAACCTTTATATGTCACAGGGACAAAAAGTTCAATGTGCAAAAACATTTGGCAATGTTGCAAAACATGATTCATGTGTTCATCTTTTGCACAGAAAGCTTGGTATTCCAACTTTAAAGTTGTTCAAAAGATGGACCAGTATGCAGAAGGATTGCATGTAAAGGGATGTGAGGCATATTTGGATTGTGCAGTATGCAAAACGTCAAAGTTCAAGGCATTCCCAGTAAGCAAGAGTAGCACAAGGCAGACAACAAGAGCTCTAGAGTTGGTACATGCAGATTTGGTGGGCCCAATGCAAGCCAGTTTGGGAGGAGCTAAGTATGCACTGGTCCTTGTAGATGGTTTAGGTTCTGCCGTTTACTAAAGAGTAAAACAGAAGTGCTACACAAATTTAAGCAATGGGTAAGCTTTGTAGAAAAAAGGTATAAACAGCAGGTATGTCAGCTGCAAACTGACAGAGGTTCAGAATTCATGTCAACAAGTGGTTGGCACAATTAGGATTAAATCCTTACACAGCAGCTGAGAATGGTGTTGCTGAGAGACAGAATGGAGTCTTGCAAACCATGAAGGACTCACTGCTAGAGGATTCTGGTCCAAGCAGGTCATATTGGGGTGAAGCCATATTGACTGTTAATTATTTAGTTAACAGGTTGTGGAGTTCCTCCATTAATGATACTCCATTTGCAGTGCTATATGGGAGAAAACCATCTCTAGCACATTTAAAGGTGTTTGGAAGCAATGTGTAGGTGCAAATTCCAAAAGCAATTAGAAGAAAGGGGCAACCAAACGCTAGAAAGCTCAGGTTTGTGGGCTATGAGCCAGGCTCAAAAAGTTATTGCTTTAGTGATGGGAGCAAAAGAATAATATTGTCAAGGTCTGCAAGCTTTGCAGAGCAAAATTGGAACAACATTGATGCATTCCAAATTTGTGGAATGATTCACTTAGTGATGGCGATTCACTTAGTGATGGTAACTCACTTAGTGATGGTGTCAGCGTACAGGGAGGAGAAGCTGAACAAGATATGACACACAAGAGCAGTCAATGCCATGCAGGTCAGAGCAATTGAACAAGGGGATACACCTGACAGGTACTCTGCTAGTGAAGTTAAAGTATATGGTATGAGCCAAGGAACTACAAAGAAGTATTGGCATTACCTAAAATTGAACAAGTAAAATGGAAAGAAGCCATGGACAAGGAAATGAAATCCATGAGAGAACATGAAGTGTTCAACATCTATGACTTTGCCACAGAGTACAAAGCTTTAGGATGCAATGGGTATACAACAAAAAAGTATTACCCAATAATGAAGTACAATATAAAGCAAGGTTAGTGGCACAGGAGTTTTCACAGATGAAAAATGTGCGCTATGAGGAGATGTTCGCACCAACTGTAAAGGAGTGAGAGCATCAGGCTGGCACTAGCATTGGCAGCAGCACATGGCCATAAAATTTGGCATTTTGACATAACCATTTCATTTCTCAATGTAGAATCAGAGGAAATTTTTTACATGATTCAAACACCAGGGTATGAAAGTAAAAAGCCTAACACAGTATATAAATTGAATAAGACCATATATGGGCTGAAGCAGTCAGCCAGGAATTGGAATATCTATTTAGATACTGCATTGAAGGGTCTTGGGTTCAAGAGTTGCAAGGCTGATGGTTGCATATACACTGGAAAGTTAAAAAGCGGGGATCGATGCAATTGTATTAGATAGGTATAAAAAGGAATTATCAGCTATTTGGAGGGAACTGTGAATATTGAACTGTCTTCAAATACAGGTATCTGAAGTGTTATATCTGGGAGGACGGTTCAAGAACGGAGGCAAGACTCAGATAGTAACTAAAGCTCTTTATTTGTGACTTCAGATCTGAGCAACTAACCCCAGCCGCAGCAGCCCCTTATATAGGGCTGGCTGCGGCTAGGCAGCCAATGAAGGCGATTTGAGTTTGCCGCTCTTGGCAGGGCCAATCGCGGCAGCCCATTTACTGGCCAATCGCATCAGTCTATGGCGACCAATCACGATCGGCTTTCAGCGGGCCAATCAGATTTGCAGGCTACGAGCCTGCTAGTCCAGAACACCCCTCCCCTCTTGGTTCCGTTTAAGGGGTGGAGTAATATAGTCTCGCAGGTAGGCAGGTCTTCGCACCTGTCTGCCTGACTTACGCAGTTCTGCTTGACCCTGTTCAAACCCAGGTTCAGATGGACTGCTTGCTGGATCAAACAGGAACGGTGAACCGGTGTCATGGTTAGGGCTCTCCTCTGGTGCTCCCGGGGTGATGGAGTCCTCAGCCTCGCTGTTACTGCCATGGCTCCCGGGGCTCGCTGAACCTGCCTGGTTGCTGCTTCTTGGTGAAGCGTTTGACTGTCCAGTCTCAGTTGCAGCTGGTGAGTGTTGCCAACCATGGTGCGGTGATCTTGGTGTTAGCTCGGAATAAACAGGTGTTGGTTCTAATTCTGAGTTCACTGCTTCCCCTCCCCCCTAGTGTCAAAGTTAGGGTCAGGGTTGGAAGATGTGGTTAGTCTGGAGCGCAGTTGGTCAATGTGG